CCCCCCCCCCCCCCCAAAAATAAAGGGGGGGAATTTAAAAATATTTTTTTAAATACTTTCCCTAGTCCCCAGCATTATGACCTTATTGTGTATTAGTGCCCTGCTGCTGTCATAAAACATTTACTAGATATATTACAATCTTTACATTACAATCTTTTTGCGAACAGGCAAAAAGACAAAGATGCTAGTTTGAGGTGAGTATGTTTTTATTAGTCAACCGTTGTCCTCCTCTCCTCCGAATGGTCTAACACACACTCCCATCTGTCCCCATATGGCACTCAAACGTCACAGAGACGTGACATGGTTGCATATACAGATACACATCTTGCCTTGATTGACACATTTTTACTCTCCGGTGTCTCCCACTGTGCTTCTGTTGTATAGAATATTAGTTTCATATGAATATTGTTTTTATATGCTACTACTTTACCTTGGATCACATGCGGGGATGAATGTGAGCTGGTGATTTTTGTTGAACAGGCATTGATGTGTATCTGTGTATGCTTGGATTTTTGTTTATTTTTATTTTTTTGGTGTAGCACTAGAGCACCACAAGTGGAAACTACGTGCAGCCAGTGAAGGTCTTACAATTTACCACACTGCACCTCATAAAGTGACTGCTGCTAGAATGACTGGTGTGACTACCCTGCTTCCAAACTCTGCACTTTTTCCGTTTCCTTCCATGCGCCCTCAGGCGTTACTGCTGGATTCTGCGGATGGACTGAATCTGAGGGGTCTGGCAGTGGGAGCCCCAGTCCCTCCAGTGCTGGTAGTCTCCGCTGTGCCTGTCACACTCCATAACATACTGCTGTCCTCGATAGCCAGGGTACTCGTAACACACAAAGCTGCAAAGAAAAAGACCATGACAGGAAATTAGGAGGAGATGTGGGGACTGAATACAATGCCAAGCTGTGGAAGGGAATGAAAAAAAAAAAGTGTTTTAATAGAAAGTGAGAATCTTGAATTAACAAATTTGGCTGGATTGATCTAATGTACATTAGAAATGTAGGTAACACCGTAGTTTAGGGACCAATTCTCACTATTAACTAGTTGCTTATTAGCATGCATATTGACTGTTTATAAGTACTTATAAAGCACATATTTTGCATGACCATATTCTACATCCCTTAATCCTACTCAATACCTAAACTTAACAACTACCTTACTTAACTATTAATAAGCAGCAAATTAGGAGTTTATTGATGATAAAGTCTTAGTTAATAGTGAGAATTGGCCCTTAAAATGTGAGAATGGAATACTTAAAATAATCATAATTAGAGTTTTGCTTGCCTATTCCCCATTGGATTATGGGATGTTTTTCTCCTGTGTTATCACCTAACACATGAAAACTGCAAGTCCTTCTTCCATGTATGGTATGGTAAATTATCACTGTGTTAAATTATCAGTTTCTGTGATGACATGCCCTGAAATGTTGATATAACGTCATTACATAACAGATGTGGCAGGTACACAGGTACAGTATTGCTGTTATGTGAGTGTGTCTGATGCACCAAGTGAGGGATGTGCAGTCAAAGAAAGATGTTTCATCTGATGGTATGTTACACTTGACTGTATTGTGAAAGCAAAATCATTAACACTTCACAAATACAAGGACTGGATACTATGAGCCAATGACGCTGGTCTCATCTGTGTTGTGCGTATGTGTTTTGTCAGCACAGCTGTTGAGCATGAGAAATGTGTAGTTCTGGAGAACAGTAGTTTGGCACTACTAGTGTTTTGTCGAGCGTTACTCGCGCGCCACACTGCACATGCATGGAGCCCACTTGCTTGTCGCACCAGCCCATGGCCTGCAGAGACGGGTAATCGTCACACAGCTCTGCGTTGCGCCCCAGGAAGTTCTCCTTCTCATAGATGGCCATGCGACTGCTCTGGTGGTCCTACAAATTGAGAGAGAGTTTGGAGGAAGGAGATGAAGAGAAAAAAACTTTGAAGAGAAAAAAATGCATGGATTTAGAGACACTGTTTGCTTGAATTAATTCAAGCAAAACACCAAAAAAAAACATCATGATTACCATCAATCTTGCCTGTTGCTACACTAAAAAAATAAAGGTTTCCAAAGGGGTTTTTCACAGAGAGCCATAGATTTTTGGTTCCCCAAAGAACCTTTCAGTGAACAGCTCTTAAAAGAACCGTTTTTTTTTTTCGTGTGAATAACATTATAATAATCTGAAGAACCTTTTCCCACTTTAAATAACCTTTTGTGCAGTGGAAAGTTTGCATGGATGTTAAAGGATCTTCATGGAACCATTAATGCCAATAAAGCCTTTATTTTTAAGTGTAGTTGCTTAGCCAAGATATAGCTCTGTCCTTTATTGTAAGAGATTTTCTCATCTTGTTTTATTATCAGGTCAAATCAGTCCAACTGCTTTGAAAAGTTTGAGAATAAAAGACTTTCAAAGCATCAGAACAGGGCTGTCCAAACTCGGTCCTGGAGGGCCGGTGTCCTGCAGAGTTTAGCTCCAACCCTAATTAAACACACCTGAACCAGCTAATCAAGCTCTTACTAGGCATAGAAACTTCCAGTCAGGTGTGTTGAGGCAAGTTGGAGCTAAACTCTGCAGGACACCGGCCCTCCAGGACCGAGTTTGGACAGCCCTGCATCAGAATGTGCTCACACTCACAGCACTGCAGATGGGGCGCAGAGACATCATCCTCTCCACATGGTAGCCCAGACTGCCGCTGTAGGCATCCCAATGAGGATATTCTCCTTTTTCCAGGACAAACTGCTGTCCCTGGAAGTCATGGTGCTCGTATCCTACCCAGCTGCAGAGAATTAAGAATTAAACATTTATAAAGTATTTGCAATAGGTTTCGATGTATTTATGATGTTTTGTTTTCATAAAACAAATACACATTAAGGTATTATAATAAGCACTGTGCTCTTAAATATTTTTCTGGATTTGTTTTTCTTCCTGGGTAGCCTTTAGGAAGCAAGACAAAACTAATTCTCAAGTAATCTTGAGGCAGCTCAATCATATTTATAATTCATTTGAAAGCACACGTCCCAACACGCATTTTAAAACATCTCATGAAACACCCAAAAGCTTTCAAAAACAGCTAAAACTGTAATTTCCTTACTAACTGGCAAGATTTTGCAATCATTAACACAGAGTGGGCGACTCACGCGCCGCTCTCCACACGGATAGAGCGGATGTAGTCAAACCCACGCTCCTGGATGTTGCGGCACTCTGAGGTGAGCTCCTGACATTTGCCTTGGAAATGCTCCTGCTCGAACACGGTCACCTGACAAACACACACATGCACATGACACAGCTCCATTTTCTAATTTGGAGAAATGTCTCTCTCCTACACATACACACAACCACTGGCCTCCTGTCCTTTCATTATGTCCTCTATCTGTTTTAAAGGGATAGTTCAACCAAAAATGAAAATTCACCCTCAAGTTGTTCCAAACCTGTACGAATGTTTTCCCCCCTCCTGAACACAAAGGAAGATGTTTTGAAGAATGTGCGTAACCAAACAGTTGCTGGTCCCCGCTGACTTACATAGAATTAAAAAATATATATATACTATGGAAGTCAATGGGGAGCAGAAACTGTTTGGTTACCCACATTCTTCAAAACATCTTTCTTTGTGTTCCAGAGAAGAGAGAAAATCATATAGGTTTGGAACAACTCGATGATGTTCATTTCCGGTGAACTATCCCTTTAAATAATACAGAATTCGTCTCGTATTTCTGCACATCTTGGTCCACAGAGCATTCATCTTTAAAGTCTCAAAATCAATACCTAAGCAGAGGAAGCCTTTGTTAAAATATTGATAGTTTGGCGCCTTGTTTCTCACTCTCAGACAAAGAATCAATAGCTTGTTTCTCACTATTTCATTGTTCTTCTCACTAGAGAGAAAGAGTGGTGAGGTTTTTACCTTAAAGCAAGGAGCCATGTCTATCCCAGACGTTGATGGGTTTGTTTGGATCTTAGTAACTCTGTTCATCTTCTTTCCTGCACAAGAGCGAAGGCTGGAAATTTTACAAACTTTGGGAGATGTACAGTTACGTTTTATACAAACATATTGTTTGACGTACATTTGGGCATTTTGGGAAAACCTAAGGAGTGCTAATGAAATTGCTGTCAAAAGGCTATTAGATCAAAAATAAAAGTG